GACTCCTCAACCCTTAACAGACTCTCTTTAATTGGCCGCTTGCATGGGCAGTTAATATACTGCAGTGGAAACCAAGTGGTAAAGTGTGAACAACCGAATCTGGCACTATAAACACGGTGACTGCCCTGAAACCTGTGGCTATTTATATACAAGGCAGTGTTTTGTCATGCTGATTTTTATTAGCACAGATTAGATACAGACAACTTGGTAGATGTCACAGATGAGTCAGAAAGCATTAAGCATGGACCATTTAAAATATGCAAGTCTGCAAACAAGCGATGGGGCTTGGAGCCTCTGTCCTTCCCTTGGCAAGCAGGGGCACACCGCAGGGCCCGGCTGGCACTGGTCCTCTTCTTTTTATCCTACAGGACAGGCTGGACCATCACTGGATGGGGGGAAATGTGCCTGGCTTACGGAAGGGGTTAATCCGGCCTCAGAAAAGGTTTTAGGTTGTTCTGTGCAGAGAAGTGTTTGGTAGAGGATGGCAGGAGCACTGGGCATGCCTGGAGCATGGTGATGCTCTCAGAAATGTTGCAACACATGATGTATCAGGGCCTTTTTGGGGGGGTTAAAATTCATTTTCACCTTTAATGTATTTCTTTTACTATCATCTCCAAAGACAATGTGAGGAAAGCTGGCTTAGCAATGAAGCAAAAATGGGTGATGCCAGCGGAGGAAAAAGGTTTCTCTAGAGTTCTCTGTAACATCTCAAGCTGCTCCATCTGCGGTGGCAACAGGCCCGTATATTTTTGTGTGGGTAGGACCACATATGCAGCGCCAGTACTCTAGGTGCTATGAACCTGCAAAGCTACTACTCTGAAATCTCGCCTTCCTAAGAGCCAAGTCTTAGGATTTATCTCCGACCTTAAAATCGTTATTGGGTGTCTCCCCAAGGCTGAAACGAATTTTTGTCCCTGGCCATATTTTTTTGTTATAATTCTGGAAGACCTGGCAGTAATAAATTTATGTTTGTTCTTTGTTTACAAGCATTGTAAAAAAAAAAGTTAATTATAAAAAATGGTTATATATGTCTGCTTGCCTATTTATTCTGGCTCTATTCATAGAAGCATTAAACACGCTGCAGCTATACTTGTCTAGTTAAAAAAAAAACCACCTGTGCAATGTATTTATAGAGCCTATACGACTTTAGAGAGAAATTGCTCTTGCTCAGAGTGAGGGCTGGACATTCATCTATTGCCTTCCCCTTTCTAGGAACAGGAAAAAGAGCATCACTCCGTGGAAAATGAAGTGGAGAAGTCTGTATCTTGGGGTCTGGCTTTCTGTTTTGTATGGCCCTTAGCTGGACAAATTCCCTTTGCCATCAAGGTGTGTAAGATCAAACCTGAATATTGTCGTTCCCGTTACACATCGTTCCCTAGTCCTTGGAAGAGGGTGAGCCATGAGTAAAACTGAAAGTACATAGATTTGACATAGTGTGTGCATGTGTGTACAAGTGCGTATGTGTGAGTATTTACAAATAAAAGTTGTGCAAAAGAATTTTGCCATAAGGTGTGCTACAAAGCACTTCATTTTTCTATACGCTTGCATGAGTATAATCATTAATTGTAAAAAAAGTCTATCTCAAATCAAACAGGTAATCCTGCAATCTCTTGCATCAATGTAGTCCTTCTTCACAGAGAGAGAGCGAGCAGCACTCATTAAAGCCAAGAAAAAGGCAATCAGGTTTCATTTGTAACGTTAACATCCAGCAACATAAATGCCAAAAGTGGTTTGTGTCTCTGATCATTAATATTAGATGCTGCATGAAAAGCTGCCGTTGTTAATAACCACACAAATCATACAAGTAGGAATACTAGCGCGTGGCAGATGCAAGCGTGCGTATCTGTTACCGAGCTCATGAAGCTGCGCTTTCCTGGACAATTTCCAACTTTAGCAGGGTGAACTTTAGCTGAGTAAGAAATCCAGGCTGTCATTCGTGAAGTATCTGGCATAGGTGCAAAGACTCCCCGGTCTTCGGGAAAGTGAAATAGCATTTTTTTTGTCTTTCATTGCAGGATACATTCCCTTCCAAAGAGTTAAAATCAATACCAGGGTGCCATATGTTGTAAACGTTTATCATTTATTATGCATTTAAATGTGCACAGCACATACACCACAGTCTTGAACAGCACCTGTATAAAACTACAGACAGATTCTGGTAAATGGTGAAAGCTCATACCGTGTAACATTGTTATCAAGGTTTTATCACAATATTTCAAAGCTACAACAACTACCTCTGAGCATATCTTGTGTGAGGCCGTTGGTTGTGGATTTGATGGAGTGAAAAGTGACAAAGAAGAACCATTCCCAGAGAAAATCTTTGTGATCTGATTTTGCTATTTGAAATCTGGAACAAAATCATCGGTTGTCAGAGGTAGTGATGATAATTACACAATGATTACTCACATATAGAAAACATAGAAAGTACAGAAATCCCCCAAATTACAGAAAAAAAAAAATCCTTAGGCATGACATTTCCTAGGCGCTTTCTCTTGATTTGGCTTCTTTTTTATTAATTGTTATTTTTGCTTTGACAGCAGCTGGCTTAAGATCTGGTCCTGGTCTGCTCTCGTCTTACTGAACTTTGGTGAGTAGATTTTGTCTTCAAGGTCATGTGTAAGTAGAGGATACGGGCAAGTCTATACCATTACAAAGAAACAAAGGCTTTTGTGTAGGAATGTAAAGAGGAAAAAAAAAGCTGAATTCAGATTTGCATGTCGTCAGAAATAACTAGTTTAGATTGGAATATGATCTGTAAACATCCTCTAAAGTCATCAAACATTGTGGTTAGTCCTGGTTCCCACTTAACATATTGATGCCCCAAAGATGATGTATAAAGAGAAGAAAAGAGAAGAAAAGAGAAGAAAGAGAGAAAGAAAGAAAGAAAGAAAGAAAGAAAGAAAGAAAGAAAGAAAGAAAGAAAGAAAGAAAGAAAGAAAGAAAGAAAGAAAGAAAGAAAGGAAGGCAGGCAGGCAGGCTAACGGATCCTTTTAGTGATTCCCTTTAGTGATTCCCCCATAATCAAACCTGTCTTTTCCTTCATCACATTAGAGACATGAGTTACACTTGCAAAATATATAAAGAAAAATATAGGGTTACTTGATGACGATATAGTACTGCAGCCTGACAGCTGTCTGCAAATATTTTCACCATGATTATCCTTACTAAAAGTAAACCACTGGGTAAAGATAGCTCAAACGTGACAAGGCTCAAATAGGATGCAACCAACTCTATCCTGAATACTTTTGGCTACATATGGAAAAAGAGAGATTTGGGATTACGATTGTTCCCCCAGGCCCTCCTCCAGAACTATAAGACCAAGCAGAAAAGTGTGTACCTTCCTTCCATGCAGATTTTGTTAGGAGACTGGCTTTGAGAGTTAGTGAGGTAGAAATTAATCAAATTTGTCAGGGAATGAGACAGAAAAAAGCAGCATATTTCTCCTTCCAAATACTGCACCAAAAATAATAAATAGTACAAAACAACCTCAATTCCTTGTAATCAATCTAAATTCTCTCTCTGTGGAGCTTGTGTTTTCTACAAACCAGCAAATGCTTTTGCCTTTTAAAAACTTATGAGAATGATAGAGTTTCACAAACTTTGAAAAATGAATGTAGTCTCCAAATATGAAAGGGAATTTGATTTGAATCAAGTATAATTTGTTCACGGTAGCGTGTTTCACAGTGCGCTCATTGGGGGAGGGACAGACACTTTTTTTTTTAGCCTAATGCCAAGCAATCGTGTCAAACATAAGCTTCCATTAAGGGCCACGAAAGATCATACGCTCCTGTTTATCTAAATAGGAAAAAAACCCCAACCCTGCAGAGTTTATATAGGTGTTTAAGCCTCTCTACCGCCTGGCAGCTCTAAGAAGACGGACTGCAGGGAAGTTCAAAGTTCAGCACTGGCAGATCTAAAAACAGATTTGAGGGGTAGCTCTTCAGCACCGCGCTTTCTGTACGGAGGTAAACCGATACTGTTCCAATTAAATAGCAACGCGGCACAAAGGAGGTCAGGCATTGTGTGTGGCTCCGCGCTGGCATCCCACCCAGGCACCTCCGCCACCGCTCCTTCTCGGAGGCCAAGAGCTTCTTTGGGAGTCATGGGGGTTTGGAAAACACGCAGAGAACAAAGCCACCATAACAAACAAACAAACACGTGTACAACGATAAACACCGTACAACACACAAACAGTGCAAAACATTGTAATAGAGGAATTGAATTTCACCTCTTTTAGGACACGGAGTAGCAGCACACCTGTGATAACTTAGAAATGAATTAAATAAACCACAAACCAGAAGTCTTCTACTGTTGCACCATGAAATGAAATACCTTGGGTTGGAGGTTTGTTTTGCTTTCAGAAATTTTAAAAAAAAAAATATTGGAACTATAAAAAGATTTTGTGGCAATATATACAGATTTAAATAATTAACTTAAATATCTTACACCTACTCTTGCATAAAACTCTCCAGTAAAAGTGCACCATGTTTCTTTTCCCCAAACGTGTTCTGTGTCTTCCCCTGTGCTGAGGTAGGTCTGAAGGGAGATGTCTCAGATTCTAGGAAGAAAATGTGTCACTGTCATTGTGGGAGATACTTTATTGCCTTTCTTTGTTCTTCCATTTTTGCTCAGGGCTATGTACATCCCGGGATAAATCCTGGATTCATAGGCATTGTAGTTGTTTGGCAGGAGAATCTCTTTGAATTTGCACTCATCATTGAAATGGGTCTGAAATGAAAAGGAAAGAATGAGAGGGAAGGAATTTTAAACATCAGGTGTGGAAATATTCTTGCTACCAGGTGTAGAAGGTATGCTGCGGGGAAATGTGCAGCTGACTTCCTCCCCCTTAGTAATCTTTTGAAGTGGTCACCCAAACGAAGCTTCAAACAGGACTCAGGAGTCACAGGATCATTAAGGATGCTGTGTCCAGGCCAGGCATGTACACCTAAAGGTGGGAAGGACACCCATAGCTATGTCTGCACTCTCGAGAGAGAGGGGCACATCTTAACAGAGCTGCAGTGGGGTAAGACCCAAGTCCAATTCTGCTGCCCTGCTGATCTAATTACTCAGTGGTTGTCCCACTAGCAATAAATTGCCGGAGAGGCTTCAGAAAAATCTGAATGCTAGCACTTTCTCATATCGCTTGAAGAGAAAAAGCTATTTTAAAGACACTCAGAGTGGACAATATTTTCTGGTTCTTTAGTTTTAAAATTGAAAGAAGGGTTTGGGTTCACTTATGTTAATGGATGAGGAAAACAGAGCTGACAAAAGGCACCTTTCTAGTGAAGAGGTTTCATTTGCAAGTATGTACAAAGAGGGACAGGTTTTACAAGTGTGTTGTTATCTGGAGAGTAACAAATGAACTCATCTCTTGTTATTGGGCAAAAGCCTAGGGTTTTTTAAGGTAGGTCTCAGTCTGCCAAGCTGAACGCTGCACTGGGAATTACTTTATCCAGAACACCAAAGCAGCAGTCTTCATAAGAAATGATGCAAAGGGGGCTCTTGCACTTCGGTGACTGATTCTGCCTGGCTTTTGTATAAGTCAAAATCCTCTGTAACAGGACTGATGTCCCAGAAAATAATTCTGGATGCTTCATGTCTTCATTCATGTGAAAATGCCCTAGTTAACTTTGACACAGTTTGGCTCTTCCTCAGCCCAAGTTTCTTCAAAGCATACTTGAGAAACATGAAATAGAAAAGCCATGGGTAAGGAAGGAGACCCAGGAACATGGGTTTGAAATGATGCTGATCACAGGAACTTATATAGAGGTGAACTCAAAAGCAGGAGGACAGCTCAACATGGGCAAAGACATGCACTGCTATTTTCCACCCCAAGTATATTTTATAAGATGCCTCTATCTTTTCCAAAGATTCAATGTAAAAAAAGATCTGTATTGTCTCCTAATAGATCTGCCTTCTTATAAATGTAAGACCAAACCTTGAGAATGCTCAACTGTCATGGGAACAGACTCTCCGATCAAGAGCATTAACAAAGAGTGATCTATAGGTATGTGACAGGCACTGATTCATTTCATCATAAAGGATCATTTGTGGGGGCCTGGCTGATGACAAGTTCAAGAGCACTCTGAGAGATGGAGTGAGCGATTGCCATACCTACTTAAGGCTGTTTGTACTTAAATAGAAGAAAGATATGGACTGAGGCTAGCTTGAGTTCTTGCCACACAAATGACTACTCTGTTGGTCTATGTGGTAGGCAAGGTGGGTAGCCATGGTTGGGTGACTACAGTTTTTATAGGGGAACTGAGGAAGTGTAATGCAAAAGAGTGGGTTTTACTTCAAAAGCTCAGTAAGCAGCATACGTGGGCAGCACACCTTCTGTTGGCAAGGCAGCAAGGGCTGCTCTGCGTTGCCTGACCCAGGAGGGGCAAGAATGGGGCTTGGGCAGCTTCTAGCACCATGCACACCTCTCACATCAGCTGACCATGGTCCCCTCCCCAGGCACACAACTGGTGGCTACTTACAGATCCATAGAGTTTGCCTTTGCTGTTCATGGCCACGAAGAGTCCACTTCTAACACCAAATATGCTCACCACTCCTCTTTCCACGGGGGAGATTTCCAGCAGACCTACAGAGGAGACACAGGAATCAGGGGGACAAAGGGCTGTGCCCTGAAGGAGTGTGTGGTGTCAGTGCTGTGCTCACCCAGGGGCTCCCATCCCCAGTGTGGTGTGGATCTCCATGCACCAGCACTGCCGTGGGTGGCCGCAGAACCCCAGCCTCACACTCCATGTGCTGCCCCATGCCCCATGCTGAGACCTCTCTTCTTTTAGCTAAGTATCTATTTTTACTTTGCCCCCAGGCATCCTCCTGTGTAGCCGAGGTTAAAATAAGCCAGAGTGTGCTTGGGGCAAATGAAACATTTGTCATCACGCAGCTTATATTCCCCCACCCCCCCTCCCCCGGATCTTATTGTTTCAGTTGGATATTAGAGTCATGGGGCCACGGGGTTAAGTCCCCAGCAGATGCTTTTCAAGTTTGGGGGAGAGCTGGGCTCTCCCCGGCCCCTGCTCAGAG